CACAATGATTCTTCCTTTCATCCTGTTGACTCCATCTGTTATGAGCTGAGAACAGCACTCAGCCTATTCTGGCTTTGTTCGCACCACTGGTGTTCTCTTTTCACCCTGTTCCCTAGTGAGCTTCTGAGCTCTTGATTACTTCCTTCTGAAGTATTTTGCATTCCCATAAGCCCTTCTTTTTAGAGGTCAGCTATCTCTTTGGTCCAGAAGGTGACATGCTATCTGAGGAAGGCTAGTCATTTATTATGATCAAAGACAGAATGATACGGGAAATTCTGTGCCTGGCCCTGCCATAGGCTTCCTGTACAACCTTGCTCAAATTACATGAACTTTCAGGCCTGAGTTTCTCATATCTGTGGATATTTACCTGCTCCCAACCAGACTGGAAGATAGGGGTAGATTAATAAGCACCCACTTCCCCATCATTGCACACACAGAACTTAGAAGACAACACTTTTCTCTCAAGGACTTTACATGAGCTGGAGCCTCCCCCGCAGGACAGTGGCCCCTGAGGAAGCCCCCAGAGTCCTGGAAGGAGTAGTAAGCATAGGAGGACAAAGCAGAACTGACTTGGACTTCACAGGCCTGTAAACATGACAAAGTACCTGCACCCACCTGAAGAGATTAAGCACTATTTACATGGGGTTTGGATGAGTGCAACTGTTCTTGGAATGATATACTCCTCTTGTCCCTGAACATACTCTTTTAGGAATGTATCCTATCTAAGGTCTACCTAATCGACCTAAGATTATTTTTGCATCACTTCCACTAGCACTGGATGTTGCATTCTTAACCCACTCATACAGTTCATCCAACTAAGGCCACTGGGTACCTATTCTATGCTGAACACGACTTGCAACACACATATGCAAGTCATGAGGCTTCTACCTTATGTTGAACTCTGTCAGATTCTTCTTTAGCAGCAAACCCATGCTATTCCGCAAGTGTGAATCCCTGTCTCAGATTTCAAGAGATTATAGAAAAGCCACTAAACTTGCCTATAACTCCATTTCTCTATTTATTTTAAAGAGGGGTTTCAGTTCCTTAAAGGAACATTTGTGTTTTAATAAGACACTATGATCCTTGGATAGGAAAGCAGAATAAAAAGTATTCATTAATGCTTGGTCTTCATTATGCCGAACACTAGAAAGGCAAGTGTGTTTGGAGGCTAGTTGGGAAGAATTTGATTATGAACAGGTACAAAATTAAGGGTAAATATAAGTCCGTTCCTCAGATGGAAGAAGAGATACTAGTGGAAGTTAATGAACTGGAGGAAGAAAGTGACAATCAAATAATGATGACAGAACCTTTTTTAACTCAGAATTCTTGCATAAGAAGAATACAGATCCATTTAAAATACAGTAAAAAATGAAACAGTATCATAGAAATAAAATGTAGCACAGTTGAGTATGAAATAGGTTCAAAGAGGGAAAAAAAAGAAAGATAGTTTAAAAAGGTTAAGTTCTGCCTATACACTCTTAAGCTGTGAACTTTTAGGAGAGAGAATTGGGTACAAATGAGCCCAGAGGTTGCCTATCTAGTGTGCAACAATTTTAAAAAAAGGAAGCTACAGCACACTCCATGTAAATTTAAAACTTCAGGACTGAAAAATATAAGCACTGCTCATTAAAGTACACTCATAGTACACTGAGTGCTGTGATATTAGCAGCACCAAAACTGGCTAGCTTCCCTCATTTTCAAGGCTTCTAAGAACAAACCTTTGACAGCTGCCTCTCTTTAACTTTCTAAAACATTTAAACAGGATAAAATTAAGGGTGCAAACAGAAGTGACAATTTTCAACCGATCTGGCCATAGAAAGCAGACTATAGCTGTGACCAAACCCAAGTGCATGGCTGATTGAGTGAAAATCTGAACCCTCACTGCATGAAGGGTCAGATGAAGAGGTTTCAAAATAAAGCCTCTTCTGTAACTTCTGTCTGCCTGCCTGCCAGCCTATCACTGCTTTCAGAATGGGAGGGGGCAAAGGGAGCAGAGGGAGTTGGGTCTGGGTTTTTTCCAGCTCCCGCTGGAGGATTAGGGGGTGGGAGGGGCTCCAATTTACCCACCCTGCCCTCCTATGCTGGCTGGGGAACCCCTAAAACAAGGTCCTTCTTCTCCCTTTCCCTCCTCCCATTCTGAAACAGGGACAAGCTGGGTTGGAGGAAGGAACATTGCTAGGGGAAACCAGCTGTAGGCTGACAGCCAGCAGCTAGATCCCCCTCCCCTTGGAACCAACACTGAAGCTCTGTTTGGTCCAGGGTATAACTCAGAAGCTTTCTGCAAAGTGTTCTCAGTTGCAGCAGGGAGCTGCATGTCTACCTATACCCTAAGTTATATAGGATACGATGAGGCCACAAGATGCTATGCAGTTATGTGGATTATGCATTTAACTGATATGCAGATAACCCAAATTTATTACAATGCAAGCAAGAAGCTCAGATAAGCAAGAGGCAATAAATCAAGCCTGGCATTGTGTTATGCATTTAAGAGAATTATGCACTTATGTATACAAGTAAAATACACTGTACAAAGAGAGAGAGAAAATTTCAGCTTTGTCCACAGTAATAATTTTAGTTTCACTGAACTCCCTCTAAGAAAGGTCTACAGTGAAGATGAAATAGTTTCAGAGAGAAGGGGGAAAAAATCCTAGCTTGTGGTACAGAGGGACCAGCACAAAGAGTGAGAAAGTAAAAAGAAAAGAGATTTATTTAACCTGGTAAGAGTTAAAGGCCAACACGTGCATGCCAACATTCATATAAGTTGGCCCACTAGGATCATGGACAATAGGGGTTGCTAAAAATACAGAATTCAATCTTTGGAAAACTTCAGTATTAAAAATTATGGAAGGATATAATGAGAACTGATAGTTCCCTTTAAATCTTATTCCATAGTATGGAAACAAATGACAGAAATAAAAACAGTGAATTTAGAACCAAGAAAAAGAAGATACTTCTTTACATGATGTATGCTGCATGCTGCATGCACAGTCAACCAGTGAAATTTACTGCCTGCTGAGCTGGTCAATGAATCAAATGTTGTAGCCAAAATATTAAGAAGACATAGATCATATTATAATAACCAAGACATATTGTGTAGCTATGCCAGCTGATACAACGGTATCAGGTCATTCTATCTTACACTTCATAGCATGAGCTGATTACCTGTCAAAATCCAGACATATTTCATACCCTATATGCAGGATGATATAAAAGGATAGTTGTGTTATTGATACAGATCGTGGTTCATCTTCCTTTGCCAAAAGCAGGAGGCTGACCAGTGGAATTAGCAGTCTGATTCAACAGATAGAGCCCTGCAGTCTCACCTTGACTGCTCACAATTAAGTCTCACCTTTGCAAATTTCAGACATAATTTAACGTAGCACAATTCCAATCTGGAGGAAGAAAGATTTGACCCATCATCATTGCCAATTTGGAGAACACTTTTTCTCCCATGATAATTTATGAGTTATAAATGAAAAATGTTTTCTTATATGCTGAAGGACACTTTCCACACGATAAATTACTGAGCCTTTGAAATGCCAGGTTCCTTTGGCAGGGAGAGGTGTTCTGAATGACTGTCTTTTTTTTTTCTTTTTTTTTTTTTTCTAGAGGTGTTCTGAATAACTGTCTTTTTTTTTTCTTTTTTTTTTTTTTGCAAATGAAGAATAGAAACAACTTCCCCCAAAGGCCATATTTGACTTACTGAAATTTTCCAAGGGACCTCTTCAGCATTCAGGGTACCAAGATATAATTGTGAAGGGCTTAAATATGTATATATGGTGGACACACAAATGTGGTTGGCCTCAACACTTAAGCAACACACTGATTTTCACTAGCATTTGGTGAGTGAGTCACTGAGAAACCACATAGGTGGGCACCTGTATTTCCCTGTGCATTGTAAAGACAGCTTACATGGGAACTTTGTAAAAGAGACTGTGGAGTTAAGAGACTGAATGTGCCAAAGTAAGACTAATGCAAATTATTGAGTCCCTACATTCATTAGGCAGCTGAGCAAACAGCTCTCTGCCATTTTCTCCCCTATCTAGCGGGGAGCTGTTAATGATGTAGTTAATTACAATACCTTGGTGGTTATGATTCCATCTTGCAGACCTACCATGTCAAACTGCTTTACTCACCTCCTTTCACATTGAGCACCTCAAGAAATATCATACTACTTCTTCAGTTGGACCTTAGTAAATGTTTATTAACCTAGAATCATATATTCCAGAAGTCTTTAAAAGAAGAGTGTCTTTTTAAGTGATAACTATCTGTATGACAACTCTTTTATTTGTTATTGCTATTAATGATATAATCCACTTTCTGATTTGCTAAATTTAGTTTAGAATAGAGAAATATGGTTTAAGGCTCTAAGCCTGCTAATATTTGTGTGTGTACTTACCCATTTGTGTGTTCCACTGAAATTACTAGAATTAATAATTTCTGAACTTAAACATGTGCATAAGTAACTAAGAGACTGGAGTTCAAGAAGTGCCTTGATTCTAAGATTTTTGTCCATGATAAATCTCTCAATTACTCTCTCTGTCTCTCTCTGTCTCCCTCTCTCTCTCTCTAAAATATTACATATAATATACTTTAACTGCCCTTGGGATTGTGTCCACTTGAATTTTTTTTGGGGGGGGGGGGGGGGAGTAGCTCTTATGCTTTTCCATTTTTGACAACTACTTTTATTGACATAAGTTGAGTTACACAACATACGAGTTTGACTCATTTAGTTCAAGTTTATCAGGTTTCCATATTCAAAGTTACATGAAGTTCTTTCTCATTTGGGGGAGGAGGGGAAAGAGGGAGGAGAAAAGGGGGGAGTAGCTCTTATGCTTTTCCATTTTTGACAACTACTTTTATTGACATAAGTTGAGTTACACAACATACGAGTTTGACTCATTTAGTTCAAGTTTATCAGGTTTCCATATTCAAAGTTACATGAAGTTCTTTCTCATTTGGGGGAGGAGGGGAAAGAGGGAGGAGAAAAAACTACATACCACACAGGAAGCTTCATATTGTTTCCCCAATTTGGGCCTCAAAAATGCACTAAAAGAAAAAAAAGTTGTTAAGAATAACAGATATTAAAAACTATATTAAAGATATTTTTGGTTTAGTTATTTTTGTTTAGTTATTGTCACTGTTACTTAAGTGGCTAAAGAAACTCATCCAAAGAAAAGAAATGAAACTGGGAAAAACTTCAGGTACCTGTTGAAAGCCCCATAAATTATAACATTATCTTTTTCAGTATAGAATTTTGTAAATGCAAACCAAACAAAGAGTTTTCCATATGCTACCAGAGCACTTACATAAATGTGGAGGAAAAATTCTACTAATGATGAATTTTTAACCCATTTAAACTCAGAATATACTTTCTATGGTCTTTACACAAAGGTTTATTTAAAAAGAAGCCACATCTACTAAACATAACAGGAGTGGAGATGCTTAGCTGTGTCTTGCCAGCATCTTGCCTTGAGGACTCATTTCTTTTTGCCAGTGGTGTATTCAGGGCTGTGGAAGAAGACTTCATATTCTTACCTGGCCTTCAGGCATCCAGTCCCTATGCTTTTAGCTATACGATTTCCACACCTATCTCCTTCAAACCCATACTTGTTGGGCCAGATTGTTAGGACAGACTACTGAGCTCATCACAGCACAGGATTTGCTCAGATACCACTGAGAAATCTGCTCAATGCCTAAGACTGGGACTTCAAATTTAAAGCCAACCCCCTTTCCCACAAGGACCAACCCAAAAGAAAGCGCTCAGTTCTACTCACTAAGGCACTGCCAGTCCAGAACTAGGGCAAGGGGGACGGTGGGAACAGCAACTGCATAAATACAGCCAACATGGTCAAGTTAAAAACAAGAGGAAAGCAACACACAGCCTCCCCCTTCGACATCAGTAGTCCCCAATCCAAAAGAAAGCAGGGGTCTCCATTTTCCTTCTGACTTGTTCAACCTGCTGGTAAGCATCTGGACAGAAAGGAGCCAGCTAGTATGAAGCCAGCTGGGAGCCACAGCCCCAGTGCCCGGGAGTGGGGGCTGGAGGGCCCTCAGAGGCTCTGTGCCTGGGATGCTCCTGCATGTGCTTGGCCTTGAAGGCAAAGCAACAAGGCAGGGATGGGGCCTGGGCAGTGGACACCTGTGGTATGCGCACACACATACATATGTACACACACACACACATATACATATACAGGTGCACACACACATATAGATATAGATATAGATATGTAGACACAGACACACATACCCAGACATACACATGCACAAACCCAGAGACATACATACATATGCAGACATATGCACAGGCACACACAGACACACACATATACACACACAGACACAAGCACACACACGCAGATACACACCCCCACACACATATGGACACACATATACACATGTGCACAGATACAAACCTGCCCACAGACACACAGACGCACAGACACATATACACGCACACAGACACATTCACATTTACACACGCACACACGCGCGCGCGCGCGGGGCCGGGGGCGCGGACCTGGTCTGCCTCCACAGGAAGGTCTGGATGGGCAGGGGGACGCCGCGGCCGCTCTCCTGCTCCGGCCCCTCCGAGCTCTTCCTCTTCATCATGGCGGTGCCGGCGCCGCCCGCCCGCCCGCCC